AGAACCTGACTGTCTGACAGTAGAACCTGACTGTCTGACAGTAGAACCTGACTGTCTGACAGTAGAACCTGACTGTCTGACAGTAGAACCTGACTGTCTGACAGTAGAACTCGGGGTCAGAGGTCAAAGCTCAGATGTTTTAATGGTTTCCTGCTGGATGATTTGTTGTTTTCTCCTCCTGCTCGGTGCTTCACATCAGCAGAACTCAGATAATTATGTTTGTTGTTGAAAACAGCTCCAACATGATGAGATCAGGAGCTTCAGGTCGTCCAGACAAACACTTAGTTCTCAGACCAACCTGTAGAAGATCATGGAGCAGGTTATAACCAGTGCTGCTGGTCATAACCAGTGCTGCTGATTATAACCAGTGCTGCTGGTTATAACCAGTGCTGCTGGTTATAGGGTTGGTAGGTAGGTTATAACCAGTGCTGCTGGTTAAAGGGTTGTAGGTAGGTTATAAGGACCGTGCTGCAGCTGCTGCAAACATGATAAATGTTCAGATTATATTTGATTTAAAGCACAAACTAAAACTTTCTGTTGTGCAACTCAGGAAGTTAGACTTCTTCAATTACAGTCAGACTTTACTGTTACATTACAACATTTTCTACAGAACCACACACACACACACACACACACACACACACACACACACACACACACACAGCTGTTGATGATTTGCCTCCTTCCAGATGTTGCTCTACATGTACTCTCCTCTTTGTGTTGCAGGGGAACAGAAACCTGAAGGTTGGACCATCATGGCGGGGGGGCGGGCTCTTCTGCTCTGCCTTATTGTAGTGGCGTGTTTCCATGGCAACGCCTCTCAGACATTAGGTGGGTTTGATTACCCAGCTCCGCCTCACACATACCAGAGAGAACCTACACTTCATCATTACATCATGAGCTCTGTAGAGCCAAGTTTAAATACTGTACACACACACACACACACACCAAGGTCAGGTTTGTATATCCCTGTGGGGACCGTGCATTGACTTCCATTCATTTTTCAGACATTTTATATCCTAATCCTGACCCTTTACCCTAAAACTAACTTAAACTCAATTCACATCTTAGTCCTAAACTTAACCCCCGACCCACCAACAGCATTTCCATTTAAGGGGACTAGACTCAGGTCCCCATAAGTAGGTGTGTATGCCAAAAAAACTGTCCCACAACGTAGGGAATACCAGTCCCCAGCTGCAGACTGAGGTAAGTTTTCAGCTGAAACTCTTGGAGCACGCGTACTAACCCTGGTCGGTTGGACGGGGTGGGGGACTGGTCTGACAGAGTCAGTCAAAAACTGTATTGACTGATCAGGGTTGTCCAGGTCCTGGAAGACCACTATCCTGCAGGTTTAACTGTTTCTCTGCTCCAAGACACCTGAGTCAGTGACTGAAGGACCTCTTCAGGTTCTGCAGCATCCTGTTAGTCATCTGAGAAACCTCTCAAACCTGCAGAGTGGTCCTCCAGGACCAGGACTGGACAGCCATGCCTTAGAACCTGACTTACAGAGAAAACTGGTGATTGATAGGTTTTATTTTCAGTGGGGTTTTTAGGGATATTTTGTGGACTTTATGTAAATATTTATTATGATTATGTCAGAAATTCTGAAGTTTGTTAAAGTTTGAGTTGAAAAAGTCAGGAATGTTTCTTTTCTCCTTTGGCTGAGCATCAGTCAGTTTGGTTAATCTGATCTGACTGTCTGTCTGCTGCGTTCAACGTTTCAACTTTAATATCAATATAGATGAAAAACTACAGTCTAACTACCAAACACTAATGGAAAACTACCAAAACATATCCTCAAACTACCAAAAACTACAGCAAAACTACCTGAATTACTAAAGACTTTACCAAAAATACCAGTAAACTACCTAAAATCTTAGAACTACTAGAAAACTACCATAAATACTAGATAACTACCTAAAATATTAGATAACTACCAAAAACTACTGGAAAACTACCTACAATACCAGAAAACAGCCAAAAACTACTGGAAAACTACTAAAAAATACTAGAAGACTACCAAAAATACTAGAAAACGACCAGAAAACTAGCAGATATACTCGAAAACTAGCAGATATACTCGAAAACTACCAAAACTACCCTCAAACTACCAACAAATACTAGAAAACCACTACAAATATTATAAAACTACCAAAAATACCAGGAAACTAAAAATGTTAGAAAACTATCAAAAACTACCCTCAAACAACCAAAGATACTAGTCAACTACCAAAAACACTAGAAAACTACCAAAAATACTAGGGAACTACTAAAAATGTTAGAAAACTACCAAAAACTACCCCCAAACTACAAGTAAACTACCAAAAACACTAGAAAACTACCAAACACTATCCTCAAACTACTAATAACTACTAGAAAACTATTAAAAGTATGAGAAACCTACCAAAATCTACCCTCAAACTACCAGAAATACTAGATAAATACCACAAATACTACAAAACTACCAAAAACTAGTATCAACATACAAAATAACTTAAACTACCAAATATACCATAAGACTACCAAATATTCTACATAACTACTATAAATACTAGAAAACTACCAAAACAACTCTCAAACTACCACAAATACTAGAATATCAAAAACTACCCTCAAACTACCACAAATACTAGAAACCAAAAAATACTAGAAAACTGCCAAATATACTGGAAAACAACCAAATATACTAGAAAACTGCCAAAAACTACCCTCAAACTACTAAATATATTAGAAAACTACTAAAATACTTGAAAACTACCAGAGACTACCCTCAGACTACCAAAAACTACAGGAAAACTACCCAAAAATACTAGAAAACGACTAAAAGCTGCTGGAAAGCTGTTATGTTTCTGACTTGGAGCTCTGATAAACAGCCAAACACAAAAGAAGATTTAAAGAATTTATTGGAGGTGATAAAGTTCCCTGGAAGGATGTGGAGAGTCACATCTTCCTGGGTTGGTGTCTCTGAACACAGGAACAAAATGTTGTGGCTGAGTTAGACAGGACAAATGAAACTAAGATGATAACAGCCACTAACCTTGTTTAAACAGCAGGGTTCCAATGAGAAACAACGTTGGTAACATACTCCCTGCGAACTGTCGACGTCGGCACGGGTTGTCACAGTTTAATGAAGAAAATTACGTCACCGGGCTAGTTTAGTTTGGTTCACATTAGCCTGGTTTAAACCAAACCCTGACCTTCACTTTGCTTCGTACGAAGGTCTGGACTTGATGCATGGAGAAGTGATTCTTGCAGGAGGCGTGGCCTCTGCTGAAGTTTAAAATGATTGGATCAGTTGGCTGTGACATATGTCACTGTGACGGAGGCTAAGCTAAGAAGCTAACCGGAAATGGCGTGTGCTGTAAACAACCCTACTGAGAGGAGAGCAGTACTGAGCTGAACGAGACGACTGTAAATGAGAGCTGCTGCTTTGTCAGACTAATTTATTTTAATTTGAAGTCTTATCAACACAGACTGGCTTCATTCACTTCCTCCACTGCYGTATGCTAAAATAACTAGCAGACACTGAGCAGAACATCGTCATCGTTCAAAACTCCTCCTTCTGTTTGCTGATTGGCCCGGCTGGTTGAGATGCAGGCAGGAGTCAAACACAGAGCATTCAGGAGGATCAACAGGTTTAAAGGTCTTATCATTACTCTTAAATCAGGTTGGGGTGCGAGGGTCATAAGCTGTGAGATCAAAGAGGGTATCGTACCATTATGGGGCAAGGCGAGAGGCAGGTGTCCAGGAGCACAGGTGTGAGTCGTCAACAGGAGTTCAGATGTCCAAACAAATCCAGGAGGGGCTGAGGCAAAAACCATTCATCCAAAAGGCAGAAGCAGGGTGAAGGGTGCAAGGCAAAACGAGGCGTGGAACAAGAACGCTGGAAAATCACTGACAAGGCAAATAATAATGTGGCAAGGAGCTGTGGATAGTGACTGGGTTCACTACAGCATGGAGCAGGTGAGTACAACTGATTACTGAGAGGGTGCAGCTGAGGAGAAACTGTGCAGAGCAGAGCTTGACTGTGGATGTAAAACATAACAGAAAGCTACCAAAAATAACTACCAAAAACTACTGGACAACTACCAGAAACACTGGAAAACTACCAGAAACTACCCTCAAACTACCAAAAACTACAGGAAAACTACCTAAAAAACTAGAGAACTACAAAAATTTACAGGAAAATTACAAAAAACACTAGAAAACTACCAGAAACTACCCTCAAACTACCAAAAACTACAGGAAAACTACCCAAAAAAAACTAGAGAACTACAAAAATTTACAGGAAAATTACAAAAAACACTAGAAAACTACTGGAAACTACCCTCAAACTACCAAAAACTACAGGAAAACGACCCAAAATGTACTGGGGTCAGCTCTTTGACTTCAGGCACTGTCATGAAGATGATTGTGAGTTTAAGAACTGGATGATTTACTTGCTGAAATCAGATTTTTAAATTTCGGTTCTATTTTATCATTTATTTTAGAGTAAAGTGCTAGCTGTGGTCACTGAATTTGACTCGGTGACAATCAGAGACTCGTCCGTCTTTAATGAAAACAGAAGAGATGAACTTTACCAGCTCACTTAGTTTCTGTGGTTTCATCAGTTTTCTGATGTGAGCACCACCTGCTAGCTTCAGCTTCCTCACGCTTCTTAATCCACCGTAGATTCCTGCTGCTGTCGGACCAAACAGCTGCAGGAATCAAGCTGCTGGTTTTTCTCTGGCTCATACATCCTACCTTCGGCACCTTTGAATCACGCTGACACACTTTCACCTGTGGCTGGCACGCTTTCTGAGCACCAGAACCTGATGGTCCGGTTCTGCTCTGCAGACCGGTCCATGACCTCCAACCTTCCTCTCAGTCTGCACCCAAGAGGCCGTGGCTGACATCGTCTTCATGGTGGACGGCTCGTGGAGCATCGGCTCAGAAAACTTCGAGCAGATCCGTCGGTTTCTGAACACGCTGGTCAGCAGCTTTGACATCGGTCCGGATCACGTCCAGATGGGCCTGGTCCAGTACAGCACGGATCCCCACACCGAGTTCAGCCTCAACACCTACCAGAACAAAGAGGACATTCTGGCGTACATCAAGTCATTGCCTTACCGAGGGGGCGGGACCTACACCGGGCAGGGGTTGGACTTCATGCTGAAGCATCACTTCGTGGCAGCAGCAGGGAGCCGGGCCCAGCAGAAGGCGTCGCAGATCGCTGTGGTCATCACTGACGGAAAGTCTCAGGATGATGTGGAGCCCTACGCCGAGGAGCTGAGGAGGAGGGGCATCGTCCTCTACGCCGTCGGAATCAAAGAGGCGGATGAAGCTGAGCTGCAGCTGATAGCCAACAAACCTCACAGTCAGCACATCTTCAGCGTGTCGGACTTCACGGCTCTGCAGGGAATCTCCCAGAACATCGTCCACACACTGTGCACCACCGTAGAGGAAGCCAAGAGACAAGTCCTGAAACTGTCCCCAGGTAATACCCCTCAGATACCACAGCAGGGACTTCTGAGTCCAAATCAGTCCAGTTCCAGGTCTCAGCAGGTACCCAGGTATAGAATGACCTCCTGAGACCCGACCTTTGGTTCAGGTCTTAGCAGATACCCAGGTTTAAAAAAACCTCCTGAGACCCGACCTTTGGTTCAGGTCTCAGCAGGTACTCAGGTCCAGAATGACCTCCTGAGACCCGAGCTCTGGTTCAGGTCTCAGCAGGTACCCAGGACCAGAATGACCTCCTGAGACCTGAGCTGTGGTTCAGGTCTCAGCAGGTACCCAGATCCAAAATGACCTCCTGAGACCCGAGCTGTGGTTCCGGTCTCAGCAGGTACCCAGATCCAGCATGACCTCCTGAGACCCAAGCTGTGGTTCAGGTCTCAGCAGGTACCCAAGTCCAGAATGACCTCCTGAGACCCAAGCTGTGGTTCAGGTCTCAGCAGGTACCCAAGTCCAGAATGACCTCCTGAGACC